ATAAATTCAGAAAATTTCATGATTATGATAGATTTACGTGGAAGAGAGATATTTCTGTTAACTCAGATACAGTCGATAAGGCATTCTCAGAATTTGTTAAATGGCCTATTTTACCTAAAGTCAAAGAAACACATTTTAAAGTTATAAAGAAAATTTATCCTGTGGAAGATTTTTTTAGAAAAACATTTGGTTTTGAGGTGGATTAATGTTCCTTTTGTAATAATAATAGTGAAACAGTCGAACATATTTTACACACCGCTTCTGGGAAGAGTTGAAAGATTGGATTTCTTTAAAAATTATTGATGTCCCCCTTTGGCACTAAGTGATGTCATTTTTTATATGGACCATCTTCCCCAGCCTGTTTCTCATACTATTAATGTCCTCCTGCTGTTGGGTAAATATCATATTCACTCTGCTAAATTGAGAAATCCTAAACCTTCCTTTCATTGGTTTATTAATGACTTTAAAATCTATTTTTCTTTTCTTAAAAAGATAAAAAATGACAAATATGCCAAAAAAATTAAGACTTGATTTCTCCAAACATCTGCTTTTTTAAGTGCGTTCACCTTTTTGTTTTTGTTATTTCTATGGCTCTGACTATGTTTGTTTTAAATGTTTGCTGAGATCAATCCCCTGTTTGTTGATTTTCTTTTATTGTAATTGAACTTTATCTATTCATTTACACCTTTGCTATCCTCTCTGAGAGTATTTTTTCATGTAAATGTTTGTTGACTTAAAAGAAAAAAAAAACAACCTGTCAGACTTCCGGGTTTAAAGGATCTCTTCCTGTCAGCTTCTAGGTCATCTACAGCTGCACTGAAATAGTTCACAATATCATTTTATCTATGGGAAAATATGGTCATTGCTCAAAACAAAAGAGAAAAATACTTTAATTATTGAAAAATAATTTCTCCTTATTAAGAAAGAAATGATGACGTCACTAAAGACTGGCTTCTGTTGTTGCTCCAGCTGTCCTTCCTAATTTAAATTATCTTTATGTTTCTCTACATCCTTTATTATCTGTTTGAATTGTATTTCTGCTTGTTTATAAATAAAGGTTTAGAAACATGTGCGCATGCGCGAACCGGAAGTAACGGAGGACAGGAAGAGAAGAAGAAGAAGCATCAACAGCAGCTTCAGAGGCTCCTTCAGGCTCCTGGATCAGCTCTCTGCTGCTGTTTAGCTTCTGGGACACCGAGTCCAGGTCAGTTTGAAGCTCCGTCTCCTTCTGCCCTGGTTTTAGAAAGTTCTGAAAGGTTCGGTCCAGTTCAGTGCTGCTCAGTGAAGCCTTCATTTGGTTCTGAACATCAGTGGGGGGATGTGAAGCTGGACACGGTTTCAGTTCTGGTTCGGTCTGTGGTTCTGTTTGGGTTCGGTCTGTGGTTCTGTTTGGGTTCGGTCTGTGGTTC